GAAATATTATGATTCGTCGTTCGTCAAATATTCACATTTTATCGAGAAAGTCCTCGTATACGTGCATATATTAGACAAGTAGAAAATGTTATAATCGTTATACTTATACTTATCTAACAACAGATAGATTTGTATTAACTCGCGAATGAGGGTGGGAGTAAACGAAAGGGTGGTACTTTCTAAGAATTAATTTACGATTGCTTTTTAGGTATATAATGTGGACATAACAGCTTGAGGCAGATATAGAAAATGATCGAGAGAAAGAGAGAGAGAGAGAATATCGTGCTCTTTATCGACTATCTGCCATTGACGCATTTGTGCGGCTCTTCGCGAATCTCATACAGCTATTTTCTCCTCGGTGAATCTTCTCTTGGAGTCCCACTCTCTCGTCCCACCTGGCCCCTTCTCTCTCTCTCTCTCTCTCTCTCAGAAGTAATTTATCGAAGTGGTAAAGCAAATGAAGGGTTTTAGCCAAACGTAACAACGGAAGCAACAGTACACCGATTCTAAGAAATGGTAATAAATGTTTTCTTGAATTTCTCTGTTTTCTTATTTTTTTTTTTCGTTCATTTGTTTGTTTATTTTTTTGTTTGTTTGTTTTTATTCCTAACTTTAACTATTCGCTCGATCGTAACACTCTAGACTCTTCTTTCTCGTTGTTGTAATTAAGGGTCTCGAGTATATGTATAATTACGTCTCTCTTTCTCTTCTTCTTCTTCTTATTTCTCTTCTTCTTTTTCTTCTTCTTCTTTTTATTTCTCTTCTTCTTTTTCTTCTTCTTCTTCTTCTTCTTCTTCTTCTTATTTCTCTTCTTCTTTTTCTTCTTCTTCTTCTACTTTTTCTTATTTTTCTTCTTCTTTTTTTTCTTCTTCGTAACGTTAGCACTAAACTATTGAGAGAAAAGTAGATTCAAAACGTATTAGTCGTTTGGTTTTTAAAGGACGTAAAATGGATTTACAGTAACGTTGTTAATTATATTACAGGAAGCGAGTCGTCCGCAATTACGTCTCTATTATTTCATCGAGCCGGAAGTAAGCGTTTATATGATATATGTGTGTGTATTTGCGCACCTGTGTCCGTTAACTCTCCCAATAGAGTGCACGTTTGCAAATAAACGAATGACTGACTTATCCTCGCACGTCATTCTTTTACCGTTTTATTAGCTCGAGATAGATTCATTCGTTCTCTTTTATAGTAACAGAGGCTATCGAACTTTAATTCGTTCGAACGTTTTAAAATATGGACGAATTTTCGATCAATTTTATTTTGATCTTCTATTAATGTTTATAGTATTTCACTGAAATTCTAAGGATTAATATCAACAATTTGACGTTCTATAATCCAATGTTTTTTAAACATAAATTTAACAAAAGAACAAAACAAAAAATGAAAAAAAAATATAGATATATACATGAGTGTGTTTATAGTTCAGTCAGAACAATATGGCAATGTTTATAAATGATTAATATGATTCACGTGCGATCCATTGCCGATTCTTTCCACGTTGTAGTATCAAAGTGCATTAAATAAATTCGTTGTTTCTTTCATTCTTGGTAATGACGCAAAATCGTTTTAAGTTTATCTATCTTGTATGACGATCACGCACAATATTATGGAACGACATTAATGTTCCAACGGTTATAACTATACAGTAACGATTTGCTTCAGGCAAAAGTATATATGTACCTACGTACGTGGTTTCGCTCGATCTCGATCGCGGAAGAGCTTAAGGTAATATTTATCTCAGCGTTAATAGTCTCTATATGATGTATGAAATTCGACCTGAAACTCTTTTTTTTTTGTTTTTCGTTTCTTTT